TTATTAAAGTAATGTAATTAAAAAATAGTTTCTATGGTGAAAATAGTACTCAAATTATGAGCGTAAATTTAGAAAAAATAATTTAATGTAAAAATAATTTAAACATAATTTTAAACACTTTTTAAAGTTAAAATCATTAATTTTAAAATATCTTCATAATTTTGTTTATTGGAATGTATTTAGACTATGATATTTGAATTTTTCCAAAATTAATTCATAGAAAAATTAAATTTAATTAAATTTAACTTTTTGTTTGATACTAATTAAGTTGAAAGAAAATAAATCAATTTTCTAAGTATATTTTAAGGTAAATATTTTTTTAAATATTTACTGTTAAATTTAAATTTAATACAAATAGTTAATTTTAAAATATTTTCATTTTTTTTTATTTACTGAAATGTTTATATTTATGATCATTTTAAATTACAAAAATTCATAGAAAAATAAAATTCAATTCAATCTTTAACTTTTTTTTTTATAAATATTAAGTTGAAAGAAAATAAACAATTATTTTTCAAAGTATATTTTAAGGTAAATATAGACCTAATTTTAATTTTATTATTAAGATACTAAGTAAGTGCAAAATAGAAATCTTTAAAACTTATATCATTGGGAAATGATTAAATTTAGAACATTAGTAATTTCTCTGCATTAGTGGGCTATAGTAATCTTTTAACTTTAGTTATCTCTACTAACTAATAAAATAGAACATTTATGTTATTATAATTATAGATAATAATTAGAAAAGCTAATAATTGAATATAATAAATTAGTAAAATCTAAGAGGCTGATTTAATTAATCTTTCTTGATTACATTTATTTATATGCATCTAATGATTATCTTGAAAATTAAATTATTAAATTAATGGTTTTGATAATGTAAATTTAAATAAGCAAGTAAATTTGCCAAATTTATTTATTTTAAGGCAAAAATACATGCAATAAAAATTTATTTTATATTTTAAATTGCTGTTTTAATTATTGGCTCATTATGTATGTAAGATGTTTAAATCTTAATTACTTTAAAATAATTTTTGTATATTTTTGATCAATTTTTATTTATATAATAGAAGAAGAACTAAAATAAATATACTAATATAGGATTTGAACATAAAAAATAAATCATTTATATTATTTTTTTTAATCTTATAATCAAAGCTTACAAACATGTGAACTAAATGATAAAAAATTTAATAGTAAAGAAAATAAAATGGGAATGAAAGAGAATATTTCTTTTATCCTTTTTGAATTCTCAAAAAAAATTTTATTATTTCTCAAATCGTTTGTTAAAATTAGCTAGAAAAATATTAATAGAGTCATGTACTAATAATCTAGTATATGGTAATTATCTAATTACAGTTTAATAAAAGTAGAAAGAGTATGTAGTTTCTCTTTATTTTTTTTGTAAGCTTAATTTAGTTAATCAAAAAATAAAAGAAATAAAAGAATAAAAATATTGTTTAATTACTTCCTTTATGATTTTTACATTCTCATTCATGTGTGAGTTTTATACTTGAAAAAAAAAATTTTTTTTTAATAATAACAATAAATGCTTATATTTTAAGATTATATTCATCTCAGCTTAGAGCATTTATCTTAGAAATTTTAATAAAATAAAAATATTTAGGGTATAATAGTTAAGATAGAGCAAGAACTAATTGCACTAAAAAAGTATTAATCATTAACGAAAACAAATTTAAGAATAGTAATCATGTAGAATATTAAAAAACACTCTTAAATTACAATATAAGTTAGGTAAGAGTAAAAACAATAATCTAAATCTTTTCAAACCATAAATACTAATTGAAAAATGATTCAATTAGTAATAAATAATTTTCTTTAAGGTTAATTTAATTCTTAAAAAATCAATTAAAAGCCATTAATATACAAAATTAATCAAAGTAAAATTGGATAATAATTAACTCAACTTTTATTACATCTACCAATCTATTACTTTTTAAAAATTATTTTGATAATTTATGATGATAAGTAATAATAATAGAAGATACAACTATACAAATAATATCTTTCTATTCTAATTTTAGGCAGTTATTAATGTCTCAAAATTTATTCTAAATAATTATATATAAACTGATGATAATTTCTTATTTTAAAAAGACCAATAATTTACAATTTTAATGATAGTTCTAATCCTTTTTTTACCTCTTTCAAAAGATATTTATTTACCAGTAAATTTCAATAGTGACTAATTTTAAATTTTTTATTGAATTTCAAAGCAAAAATTTTTTGTTTGATTTTAGATAAAATATCACCTAGGTGCTTCCTCTTGGCTCAAAAATGAGGAATTATGGTAATACTTAAAGAATATAATAATTAATTGTGATAGTTTCTGGAAGTTAAATGAATAATATAGAATAAAAAAATTTTGTTTCGAATTAATAATAAAATAGTAAGGAATAATTAGTTTGATTCTTACTGGTTGTATTATTAGATAAGCATAATTTAAATAAATTAAATATATAAATAGCTATCTTTATGCGTTTAATTTTATAATTGAAATTAATTAAAAAAATAATAATAATAAAAAATAAAAAAAGTAAATTAATTAAAATGAAAGTTAATACAATAAAGATTTTATTTTTCTCAGTTTTAAATAGTAAATAAAATTTCTTATCATAACATAAATAAAAGATATTAATTTTAAAACCAAAGTCTTAATAAAATTCGCAAGTTCATAAGTTTATTCTGACTGTACACAAGTTATGATGAATCTTGGTTTAAATCCAACATGTATCAAAATATAAAGTATCTTTTTATTAAATATTTAATAATAAAAAATAGACAGTGAATGCGTAATAAATAAATACGGTGTTCAAGACTAATCTGATTTATTATAGTATAATATGTATTTAAAGTCTGATAATTGCTTAAATTAAGTTTCAAATCCATACCAACGTATTAATTATTTATCAGGAGATGGTTGTTTCTCAAATATTCCTTATAATTTTACTTATAGCAGAAAAAGTTCGTAAAATTATTATTTTTAAAATAAAAATCTTTTTATTAATATAAATAATTGATTTTGAATTTTTCAAAATTTTATTAATTATTATTTTAATTATAAAAAAGGTTTTAAAAAATTTATAAATTTTATTTCGAAATATTTGGCGTAGTTAGTACTAAACAAACATCTTCTCTAATGAAAATAAGTTTAAATGGAGTTGAAAATACCAGACACCTTTCAAGTTGTTGGGATGCTTAATGTTATTTTTTCAACAACAATAAATAAAATACATTATTAAACTCATATGATTTAAATGTAATTCTAACTCCATTGAATTCAGACACTGAAAAATATTAATAGTATATATAAGGAACTTTTCTTATTGTTTAACTTGTAAATTATTTCAATACTTAATTTGAAAAAAATCTTTTTTTTTTAAAAATATATTTATAAATTTATTATAATTTGCTTATTTGACTTTTATTTCAAATTTTTTTAATTTTTATCTATTTTATATCCTCATTAAAAGTGCTCGCCTTATTGTGATGAATGTAATTAAAACAGCGTATGCTCAAAATGTATTGAAAAATATTATCTTGACTCTTCTGGAAGCTGTTAGCCTTGCGATTAAACTTGCTTAAACTGCTCTGGACCTTCAAAAGAAAATTGCTTATCTTGCATTTCAGGGTTGTTTTTTTAGCAGAAATCAAGTTCATGTGTCTAAAATTGTGATTAAAATTAATATCCTGACTCTTAAAATGTATGTTAATTATGCGATCAATCATGTGCAATTTGCTAAGGAGCTGGACCAAACAATTGCTTATCTTGTTAATTAGGTTTATACTTATAACCTATTACACATTCATTTGTGTAAACTTGTGATTAAAATTAATATCCAGACTCTTAAAATGTATGTTAATTATGCCATCAATCATGTGCAATTTGCTAAGGAGCAGGACCAAACAATTGCTTATCTTGTTAATTAGGTTTATACATGTAACCTATTACACATTCGTGTGTTTAAACTTGTGATTAAAATTAATATCCAGACTCTTAAAATATATGTTAATTATGTGATCAATCATGTGCAATTTGCTAAGGAGCAGGACCAAACAATTGCTTATCTTGTTAATTAGGTTTATACATGCAACTTATTACACATTCATGTGTTCAAACTTGTGATTAAAATTAATATCCAGACTCTTAAAATATATGTTAATTATGCGATCAACCATGTGCAACTTGCTAAGGAGTAGGACCAAACAATTGCTTATCTTGTTAATTAGGTTTATACTTATAACCTATTACTCATTCATGCGTTTAAACTTGTGATTAAAATTAATATCTAGACTCATAAAATATATGTTAATTATGTGATCAATCATGTGCAACTTGCTAAGGTGCAGGACCAAACAATTGCTTATCTTGTTAATTAGGTTTATATATGTAACCTATTACACATTCATGTGTTTAAACTTGCAATTAAAACTAATTCATAAATGCATAATAACAGTGCTAATTATGTGATCAAACTTGTAGCAGTTGTGATGGAGCAGGACCAAATAGTTGCTTGTCCTGTATACCTGGATTATATTATTAGCCAAATAAAAAATAATGTGTTTAGAATTGTGATTTAAATTAATTTATTAATTCTTTAAATCAGTGTTAACCCTGTGATTAATCTTGCGCAAGTTGTGATGGGTCTTCTTCTAAAAGCTGTTTATCATGCCCTTAAAATAGCTTTTTGTTTAATAAGATGTGTGTAGGTATTTGTCCAAATGGATTTTAATCAAATCTCATTTCACTTACTTGCGATTAATGTTAAAATTATATGGATCCTAAATGCAATTCTTGCTATCCTAGTTGCTAGTTATGCAAATCCAGATAGGCTAAAGACTCTTAATGCGATAGCTGCTACTCAGAAACAAGATAATTAGATTCAGATAATAATTGCACTTGCTTAAATCCAAAAGATTAAAGAAATAATTTTTATTAATGTAGCTATCAAAATATTGCTGTACTTGACATTCAATTAAGCGCAACAAAACCACTGCTAATTATAGATTTCGGTTCACCTTTAAAAGGTATATCAGTAGATACGTCTTTACCTATATGTTAATAAATATTTGATCAGCCAACTTTGATTTTACTTGGTTCAGATTCGTTGTGCCAAATAACTGGAAATCAAGTTTAAGTAAATTTAGGTAATTTTTTCAGATTTAGACAAGATTTGTATAAAAAATTTCTTACTTAATTATTTAATAAAATCTTTTTTTAAATAAAATTTGTTAATTTTTGTTCTTT